TATTCATGACTTAAATTAATAATTTCCAATATTTTATTGATTTAAAATTTAGTTAGTTTGAAATATTATTCATGAATTAAATTTTTACTATTTTATTGGTTTAAAATTAGTTTGAAATACTATTCATGAATAAAATTAATAAGTTCTACTACTTTATTGAATTTTTTTAAATAAAAATTTTTGATTTAAATATTAATAACTATAAAATTTATCAAAGAGTTACAGTTTAATATTTTGTAGTGACTTTGAAATTAATTAAATAATTTTATTTATAGAGTATGGAATATTGTAGAATAAAAAAAAATATTTTTGAAAAAAATTATTTTAACATTTGCATTAAATATGATGTACTATTAATTACTTGTTCTTAATGTGTTTATTTCTCACATGAATTATGAAAACAAAAAAACGACTACAAATGATTTTGTTAATTATTTTTCAATTAAGTATTAATCTTATTTCATGCTTAGAATTATCAAATACATTATAAAAATAACCACAAATAAATAAAATATTTACACTAATAATAAAAATATTTAACATTTTAAATTCTTTTCCATTGTGAAAATAACTTTAAATAAATTCATAAATGATAAAAAAATATATAGTATTCATTAGTATACACATAACTATTCAAGTATTATATATAAATTATCAAATAATTATTATTATCTCAGCTGAAATACATCTTTTATCTTCTTGACCGAAAAAAAACCAAACCATTATGTTTATTTTTTTTTATATATCAAACAATTATCTCTTTCTTAAAGGAAATAATTAACTATGTATATTTTAAGAGAAATAAAATTTCATGTATAAATTCCAAAAGATTTTGATTATTAAATTAATTGAATTCATTCAAACATATATCATGTTGATAATAACTATTAAATCACAAATAGATTATTTTTTAATATAAGAAAATGAAAATATATATATATATATGTTTAATTATTATTAAATTATTTTTAAAATTAAACATCTTCTTTTTTTTAAATTTTGTAAAATATTTGTTTTAATAAAATACATGCAAGTACATTGAAGGTGTAATTATGCAAATCAAGTGGTATTGCTATATAAGATATTGATATAAAATTATTTATCATGGTTATTTCTATACGGAGAGATTGCAGATTATGTTTACTATGACAATTAGCCTTTTATGTGGTAAATAAAAAAAATTAAGTAAGAAAACTAATATTTAAGGATTAAATGAAAATTAAGTGACATAATATAAAAATAATAATGAATATTTTCTCCTTAAAATAACAAATTTATTATATTGTAAAATTTTAATTCTATGAAAGCATATAAGCATAAATATTTATTTATTTAAAACTGTCAGTTAACATGGTTTTTATTTGCAATTCTTCCAAGTCACAAATTAGATTTTGGTTTTAACCAAAATTAACATATTGATGATTGAAGATGGATGATTTATTTAAATTTTAAAATATTAATTAGAGAATAAATGCTATGGAATAAAAACAATTACAGATGATAGATTTAATGTTAATGATAGATGAACAAACAATGACAGATTTAATTAATATTTACAAAATACAAATACTGACATTTGGCTTTAACCAAAATTAACATATGATTGCAAATGGATGATTTATTTAAATTTTAAAATATTAATTACGAAAATAATGTTTATGGAATAAATATGATTACATGTTTAATAAATATAACAATGCAAAAATTTTTAGATTTAATTAATATTTACAGAATACAAATATTAACATATTTACTTAATATTCAGAGAAAACAAATAACAGATTTACATATTATTTACAAAATATAAATAATAATAGATTTAAATAATATTTACAGAATGGAAATTATTGTACATTCATTATTTAATTTTATACAATAACAACTTATCATAGCAAAGCTTTTTATTCCATAGTAATAATAACCACATGGCTAAAAATATGTTAAAATAACTGGAAAATATGAAGTTAAAAATAAATAATATAAAATCCCTTAAAAATTTAAATAGTTTTGGGCGCAATTTTTAAATAATATAAAACCAAGCTCTTTATCATTAATCATATATAACAACTATATTAAGTTTGAATGTTTGGCAATTAATGGCAGATGATGATAGCAGCTCACCTTTGAGTTTAGATGACAACATGTTTTAAGTATCTGATTTGAGATATTCTGCCACATTTATATATTTTTTCGTACATTGATCTCAAGAAGTGGATAAATGAGACATTGATGAAAAATCTGTATAGTATGTGGTCAGTAAATAATACCATCTTTGCCATAATGAGTTTACGTAATATATGGCATGCTGCATTAATTATATCACAGAACATTTCCCAAAATTGGGATTAAATGAATGTACTCTTCATTGCATGTATTTCACATGATGAAACACGAGGATATGTTGATCGGTGCATAGACTGTGCTCAGTATTTCGTTTGACAGCACACCAGCAGTCACATTGAACTCGCACTCTAAGGTCAAAACGTCCTTGGGCAGAAATGCGGACTTCTTGTCCATGATTTTCTTTATGGGGAAGAACGGAAGATTCCATTCTTTCCTCACGTTGGTGGCGGGAAAGTAAATCTCGTACAGGTTCCACTCCCTTCTATTCATGGAGGAGTCCAGCAAATGCACTTTGAAGTTGCACATTTTGATATCGCGGCCACCATTGAATAGGAGTTGAAAATGATGCGATCGTCAGACTTGTACATGTTCACCAAGAACAATGGCTGTTTTCGTGATGCCCAACTGATTGGAACAGGGATCATTTGTGACACTTCCAGCTGACTGAAGTTTTCGACGGTCCAGATGATATTCGCATGTTCTATTCCTATAAGCGTCTGGGCGATACACTTTCCCACCACCTTTGCCTCCTCTTCAAGTTTCCAAATCTTGCAGTGAACTGTCAGGGTGTCGTCGGGTAGGTAGGATGACTTCTTTTCCACCAAGATCTCGTCCCTCAACGCATGCGCCGCACATCCGTCTCTACATTTTCTCTTGAACGAATAGTTCCTGAACATGGCAGACTTCATAGTATATCCTCTGCCATTCACCAGAGACAGCTCGTAGTCCACAGCTATACTCTCTGGTCCTGCGTCGTCCATTCTTTGCAGGTAATAGGTCACTTCCGATTCTGATTCCGACTTGTCTCTTGGACACAAGTGAAGAGCCCATGTAGTCTCCTCCAAAGCTTTCACCACGAAAGCGGGACTGGTTAAGGTGTTTGGCTCACTGTAGAAACTGAAGTTTATCAACTTCCACACGAAAGTGAAGAGAGCTTTGTCGCTGCGTTCCATGCTGTTTTGACAGCGAATGAATTCAGCTGTTTTCCCAGCTTCATTAAATACCAAAGCAAACAGCCAGGGTTCTGTTTCCCCTGATTGTATTAAAAACGAATACAACTTCAACTCATTTTGATTTATATTACAATTTTAAAAACGTATCATAAGCGAGATATCTAATAAACGTTTGACTAAAAGTCAACGGTCTTTATGTCAGTACGTCGGGACCGTGATAGACTTTCCCTTGGGAACGGAATTTCCCGTCACTACGTCGCGCAACCATACACAGTTCGCGTCACAACCACACACGTCACAGTTCACGTGTTCGCAGTTACAAGGCCGACTTGATTAGAAGAGCTTTTTTATATACAGTAGTTCCACCTACTGAAGATAAGGTAAGATCACTTTCCCTTTATACGCTCACAATGAATGTGTAATCGCTAAATAAAGTACAATTTTTATTAAACAATAAGCGCAAAGTGCGTTTTTTTTTTTTTTGTTGTTTATTAGGGAATACTTTGACACTGAAAATAATGAAATGATGGTACAAATTATCGCTTTTTGCACCTTTTTTATTATCTGTAGTTCTCTCTCTATCTCTCTCTTTTTATTTGCAAACCTAAAACAAAAATTTCAAATTTTTATTTATTGCCAATATTTATAATCAGTCAAAGTATACTTTATATATAAATGTGTTTGGCTCAAAAATTAAACAAAGGAGATAATAAAATTTTTATTAGAGTAATTTTTGCTTCTAAATAACAAATATTTAAATCTCAAAAGGAGTGTACACTTCAAATACGATGTAATTTGACTGGCATTGTCTAATTTAAAATTAATCTTTATAATAGTTTTGGTGCTTTAACATATCCATGTTTAAATTGCAAGTTAATGTAATTTTTTTGGGTTATCAAAATTACACCAAAAAGTGAAATTCGGAAAATTATTTGATTGTATAAATTTTTACCTGAAAATTTAATGGTAACGTTTTATAATAACATCATCGTATTATAAAATACACTGAAATATGAATATTTAATAAATTCAACACAATTATAAATATTTTATGTAAAATTATAAAAAGTTGGGAAATTGTGTTTATAAGTTTATAAGATGAAGAAAATAAATCAGGAATTCATAGAAATAAGTAACATTCGAGATGCAATAATAAAAATTTAAATAAATGATAAAAAATAATTATCACATCTTCTTATATAACTTTCAAGAGCAGTTGGAAAGTGTTTTTCTGCTGAAAGAATTCAAAGTAAACTAAAATATGTAGCCTCGGGAAAGCAAATATATATTTTAATTTCTAAAAAAAAAAAAATTTGAAAAAAAGATTGCATTTTTCAAGTGTCATATTTAAAATGAAAAAGAAGTACATTTTTTTTTCATTACATCTCTAAGAGGTATCGCCTTCGTTGTAAAAAACTTATGTACCTTACTCTGACAAACCCGTAGCATATATATATGTATATATATATATATATTTATATATACATTCAAGAGCCAAAACATTATGACCACCCTACATTTTGCAATGAACTCGCCTGGATGACGTGGAAGGTACGTGATCAGGTGGAAGTGGTATTTAACTGGTATTAAGTGGTGGTATTAATCCATGCCAAGGCGGGTTGAAGCTGTGCTGCGCGCCAAAGGTGGGCCAACCCGTTATTGACAGGTGGTCATAATGTTTTGGCTCTTGAGTGTATATATATCAACTGGTTCTCGTTAGATCACCGAAGTCAGCATCATTGGACGCGGTCAGTACTTGGGTGGGAGACCACCTGGGAACACCGCTTGACGTTGGCATTCACAAAATTGGGACCTGAATGGCCGAGTGTCTAGAGCTCGGTGCCACAGGTTTCGGGTTCAAATCCCGGCGGTGCCATGGATGTTTGTAGTGGTTCGGAAACCACTTTAAACCGTAGGTCCCGGTCTCCTATGACTGTAAGAGCGTCACGGATCCAAAGTCAGACTTCTACCTACGGGTGCTCCATCACAACAGAAGCTGCTTCCTTCCCCTTCAATCATGAGTACGTATGGGCTCTTAGGCTTGGACAGCCAACTGGGATAAGAAACAACAACAACATATATATATCAGCTAATTCTTAGTGCTGACTGCGCCATCTACCGTTGAAGACAAAATTTATAAAATAAAAAATAGTCTTTATACCTATTTTTCTTTATTTAGACACATAGTTAAATAAATGTATTTCTGAAGTAGATTTTTATTCCTTTTAATCCACACTTATAAATAATGAAGCTGAAATATTCAGTTTATATCGAAGTTAAATTTATCAATTTTTTTTTTTTCTTATCCCACTAGGTTGGGTCGATAGCAACATGTGGTCTCATGGAAGGAGAGGGGGCAGCTTCTGTTTTGATTTACTCCCATAGATAGAAGCCTGATTCTGCTCCGTGCCGTTCAAGAAGGAGGCCAGTGCCTTCCGGGTGGACTTTTAGGAAGAACTACCCCGTATCGTGTGGGAGAAAATCTGGAAACTCCCACCATGTAGACCGACTAACGATGCAAGATGCTGAATGTCACAGACACCATCGAGTCTTTTGTCGAGCCGAGTCTCCGTGCCGTTGAAGAAGGGTAGTACCTTAAGCGTGGACTTTTAGGAGGAATGGGAGAGAACCTGGATAATTCCTACCATGTAGTCCAATATAACAAGGCAAGATGTTGAACATCACAAATGCCATCGACTCTTTTCAAACAGTGTATACAACGAAGACGCCACAAAAAAGTTCCATTTTTAGTTCAGAACCATTTTTCCACCAATGTCGTTTATTTTGATAGCTTCGGAATCGCTCTTTTCTTTCAAGGTCGTTCCAACGCGGAATATAAAAGAGATAAAAACTTAAATGTTTCGCACTCATTTACTGAAAAGTAGCTCTATATAAATTTATGAAGTTAAAACCAGAAGAAAATTAAATATATTTTAGAATACACTTCAAGTTTTACATGAAATACAATCCACATTACGTTATTCAATTTAGAATTTATTCACCATCCTGCATAATTTAAAACAATCGTGATTAGTTCTACAATTTTAATCTAGTTAAGCACATATATAATCATTTATAATCAGATTAATGTATTGCGCATGGATCAATGTGTTTAGAATCTTGCTTTAGATTACATGGCGTTAACAACAATCAATGGATTTGTCTGTCAAATTTAAACATGCAGTTTTAATTAGAGACGCCAATTACATAGAATTAAAATTTCAAACTCAGAATTAACCATCTGGTATTAGACAAGGTTTTTAAAAATGATTGGCACAATAAACCCTTGAAACTTACATATTTAACAACAATTAACTTCGTGAATATGTAAACAAAGCAGTTAACAACATATCATTTGTTGATTTTAAGAAGGAATTATAGCAGATGTTATGAAATATGAAATTCATATTTGAAATGCTAAAAATACCTACTGAAACAAATCGCTGTAATCATATTATTTTTTTTTTTTAAATTCATATTTATTGAATAATATTAACCTTTAATTATTCATATCTATTTCAAATTAATGAAATAGTATATTAATATTTAACTTATTGTATAATTTAAAAAAAAAACATGATCACATTTTGTATGTACTAGGAATGTAGTTATCTTGTTATTTAACACTTTGTAGTAACTTAATAAATACATAAACAAAGTCATTAACAAAATTTAACTTTGACGCATTTAAGAAGAAACTATAAAAACTGTTATGAAATATGAAATTCAATATTTGAAATGCTTAAAAATATCTACTGAAACAAATGGTTGTAATCATGTTTAGTTTTTGTTTATAAATTTATATTTCTTAAATAATACTAACCCTGAATTATTCAAGTCTATTTAAAATTTATTAAATATAACGCCACTTTGACCCAGGGTGAAAAATCTCTGTGCCAGACATTTCACTCTCTCGTTTTGATGCGAACTTCATTCTCCGATTCCAAAAAGAAGATCCATTTTTAGTTTAGAATCATTTTCCGCCACTCTAGTTTATTTTGATAGCTTCGGAATCGCTCTTTTCTTTCAAGGTCGCTCCAACGCAGAACTTCAAAATGATATAGTTTTGGTTTGTTTATAACTCTGCCCTCTCCTTTCCTTTTCTCTTTCTCTTCAGCAAGCCAGAAGTTTTCGTGGTTTCGTAACGGTTATTTTTTAACTCATTTTAATTGCCACAGTTTTTATTTTTAAATACTATTGAGAACTATTATTTTAAATTTTGTATTTACTAACCTTTTTACTCCTGTAAATCTCTCCGAGCATTGGCCCGTTTAATATTCTTTCTTTAGCTCATCTTTTGATTTTAAAATTATGTTTTTAATAATAATTATTGATATGGTGGTACGGGAAATTCCCTGGTACTCCAACTAAACACCTACAGTTACGTTACGTTTACGAAGATGCCAGCGGATTGAACCTCAGCCGTAATGCTTACCAGCGGTGCACATTGCCACTGAGCCGCCAGTCGGGCAGAAAATAAAGCAATGAGTCTATGGCATGAGTGTTATGAGTGTATGGCATGAGTGTTATGAGTGTATGGCATGAGTTTATTGCAGTGAGTGTCAGGCATGAGATTCAACTGTATGCAAGACGCGTTTGGTTTGTTCTAGCAAGCGAAAGTCGAAAATTCACATAATTCACAATTCGAACAAGACAATATGATAAACATTAACTTAATTAAATAATGTTTATCATTTTATGACATTAAAGAATTTGAAAGTTAATTATTATTTGATGTCAGTAGAATTTCATCACATGATTAGCTGATTTAAGATCTCTGTTAATATCCTTAGAAACGGATGTACCAGAGAGAACATTCTCTATTCAGTGCAATGGGTCATTTCTGTTAATGTTTCACATAATAATTGTAAATAAGAAATTATATAAAATAAAATATTCAAATATTTAATACCATATGAAAATTGTATTTCATCTAAGTTACCTAATTAAAGAAAAATGTTACATTCTTAACTGCAAAACTATCATACAAAATGTTATTTAAATCTGAAGATGTGGAAAATCAGCGATTTTTACTTCCTGTTTTGTAAGACCTACCATTAATTTTCATTAGTGATTAGCCATTAGAAAAGCGCTTGATACTAAAAGGAGATTGTTGCGTCTCTTTTAAGCACTAATTATGTGTTTTTGCAAAAATTTGAATTGCTTCAAAAGTTTCAACGCTTTGGCTTCAAACATTATAACGATACTTAATTTCTTGAAAACTAATGCAACTAATTACTAAAACATTCATGCAGTTTCGTGTGCACTTTTTGTTAGAAAGAATGTTAAGCAAAGTAGGCTAAAAACCATTACGTTAAGAAATACATAGATTATTTAACACGCTGCTGGTTTCAACTTAATTAAAACTAATTTTACTTTAACAAAAAGTGGCTTTATCCTTTGATCGTTTTTTGTAAAGTTTGTCATTAATTAAGATACCAATAAAATGTACAAAAAATAGCTTAATAATTTGCTTCAATATTTTTAAATAATAGGAGACAAACTTTAACATACATATTCCTTCCTATATTATATTATATCCATTATTATTATCTGTATTATATCGATATTATCTATATTATTATAACCCATTTGATTCATACATTACTTGTAAACCCTCATGTTATAGAATAGTAATTAAAAATATTTCATTTCAGATAAAAAGCCATTTAGTTTTAATTTTAATACTAATATATATATTATTATTGTTATATCATATCGATATTATCTATATTATTATAACTCATTAGAATACTTATATCATATTATAGAATAGAAATTTAAAAAAATACATCATATCAGTTTTAAAGATAAGAAAATTTACTAACTGACTTATTCTATCGATATTATTATTATTATTATAACTCTATATTATTTCATTTGATTACTTGTAAAGCCTCAAATTATAAAATTGAAATTAAAACATTTTTATTTGAGATAAAAAGTCATTCAATTTTAATCATAAAACAATATACTAACTGACTTATTCTGTGAAATATTGTTATATAAAATCTATTATTATTATATGTATTAAATCTATTTTTTCTGCATTATTATAACCCTTTTGATTACTTGTAAAACCTCATATTATAGAATAGAAATTAAAAATGTTTCATTTCATATAAAAGGCCATTCAGTTTCAAAGATAAACAATATACTAATTGACTTATTCTGTGCGATATTATTATATTATATCTATTATTATTAAATCGGCATTATCTATATTAAGAAATCACAATAAAATATAAATTAACAATACTTCATTTCAGATAAAAGAATATACTAACTATAATATACTAAAGATAAAACAATATACTAACTATAATATACTAAAGATAAAACAATATACTAATGACATATGTGCAATATTATTATATTATATCTATTATTATTAAATGTGTTATATCGATATTATCTATATTATTATAACCCATTTGATGGCTTGTAAAACCTCCTTTTACAAAAATAAAAATTAAAACATTTGATTTCAGATAAAAACCAATTAAGTTTTATAAATAAACCAATATTGTATTATTTAGTTTCTCAAAGCAAAGTCGAAACTTCCTTTTGAAAATTTATTTCAATAACTGTCATGCCATCTTTTCTTAATATTAGTAAACTTTCCCATAATAATTTTAATGTTATAGTAAAAAAAAATTGTATTTTCAATGATTTTCTTACAATAAGGTACCAAGTATTAAACATTAAGGTATAGCAATTTTGAAGGCGAGGAAATAAATTTGGAAGAATAAATGAAGAGTTTTTGAAAAAAAAAAAATAATTCCACTTC